TCATTGCAGGGGGGTTGGGCTAGATGACCTTTAAAGGTTCCTTCCAAACCAAAGGATTCTGTGATTCTATTCTTTGATTCTGTCCCATGACCAGAGTGGCAAGATGAGCCCAGGTTTACACCTGGCAGTGGAGTCTGTGTTCCTCATGGGTGTCACAGCCACTGCCACCAGGCTGCTGCTAAGAAAGATTGCCAAATATTGCATTCTATGGCTTGAAAACTGTCTGAAAAACTCTAAAAGACCGAAATGCAAGGTGACAGATTTACAAAGGTGGCAGGGAAGGGATAATTTGGAAGGAAACCAAGACAAGATGGTGAGAAGGAAAGGAAGGAGTACATGGGGGAAAGAGACAAATGTACCAGGCAGGAAACCAAGTGAAAGGAGGAGGTGCAAGAGGAAGCAAACAGGATGGTCAAGAAAGGGACACAGAGGGAAAGGCTGAGAGAAAAAGGGAAAATAGTGAAAAAGTGGAGGAGGGGGAAATGCAGAGCTTCTTTCTAAGAGATAAGAGAAAATAAATGGAGTCTGCTGCTGCTCAAAGCAGCCAGCAGCAGAAGTAACATATTACTGGGTGGGCATTTCAACAAGAAATGGACATTAGACTGGTAACAAATTACACAGGGCTGTCTTCCCCCTGGGCAGAAATCACAGAAATAATAACTGATATTCTCCTAAGTCTTGTGATTTTGGGGTCCTTGGACAGGAAACATACTGGCTACAGAAGGGCAGTGTCCCCCCTGGGAGGGGCTCTGGCTTTGCCCATGGAGCTGTATATTCTTGACATGAGATGCAGAATTCAATTATTCTTTGGCTTTCTTTTCTCCTGAGGTTCAGCAGGAATTTGAATTCTGTCCATGTAACACTTTTGTCTCTTTGCTTGCATGAAACAATCCTAATTGCAGACTATACTTTTTGAATAGAACTTCTGCCAAAGATCCATTCAAAGAGGACACAGAGCTGTGCTCTCCTACTTGGCTGTTCAGATTAAGATCATCCAAGTCAGCATGCAAACACTCTAAGGTGGGCTCTCACTCATCCTGCCAGAAGAATTTGGTGCAATGACTATTTGATTACAATTTATATTCCATTAAAAAATACAGTAGTAAGCTTTTAAAGCTGCAAGGTCAAACTTTCAGGAGAAAGAAGATTCCCAGGCTCAGGCAGGATAACCCTTCTGGCCTTATATGCCTACGCACTCTGACAAATTTTATTCAGAGGATCATGTGCAATTTTTGCACAAAATCTCTTTATCATTCAATGCACAGGGTTAGACATTTCATTAAATCTTTTCAAAGAACTCTAATCCATGAAAATCCATCAGAGAAAACTTTGTGAATGGTTGATATTTGGTAACCAAAGAGTTGAGTGGGAGCCTGTGGGCTGGGAGATGTCAGGCAGTAATGCTTTCTGCACTGCTCCTGACTTTGAAAATTTCTAACTGCAATTACTGTCAGGTAAAAGTACCTTTTCCTGCCAGTTTGGCAGAAATATGGAATGGTGGCTTACAAGGTAGATTAGCTACCAATCCAGCAGCTGATGGAATTAGCCTTGGTGGCATAACAAAGGGGAGCCGCAGAGCTGCCACCAGCCCTTCCCTGCTGGCTGCCTGTGGGTGGAAGTAAATTGCAGGGACAGTGTGTGAGCAGCTCAATGTGAATTTTCTCTCCACCACTTGCCTCACATGCACAGACTAGCCCCAGCCTGCCTGAGGGTGACACACGTGCTCCAGGGTTTCACCTCCTGTGGGGTCACCTTTGTCTCAGTGACAAAGTCAGGAACCATCCCCTGGTTCCAGACCAGGCTTTGTCGGGAAAGCCCTGGTGAATCCACAGTAGCAGCACACAGGGAGAAAAGGGCAGCACCCTTCCACCCCCACAAACGCCACAGGCTCTGCTGCCAAGAGAAGAAAACATTTCCAATCCAATTGTTTTCCTTGTGGCAAAGCTGAGATTCCCATTCAGGATATTTAAAAGCTAAAAATCAGGCATCCACAGTAGAACTTAAATTGGTCAAGATCAGGCTTTCCACACAGGCAGGCAAACACACATCAGGGTGAGCTGGAGTGCTTCTAGTGCCTGCCTAAAGCTGTCCTACCAAACCAAGCACACAGCTGCATTTTCTTTCAAAATACTACTGAAGCCTTTAAAGAGAGAGGGGGAATAATCCAGATTCTGGCAGTGGGGAATATTTCACAAATCATATATGCTTTGGCATCAAGCCCTTAAAGCCAGGGGCCTTTACTCACAGGCTTTGCTGGGAGAGATCCACCCACCTCAAGTGGGATTAATTAAAAGAGGCATGTATCATGCAAATAGTTTCTGTTTCCTTACAGAAATATTCAGAGCACATAACCCAAACCAGCTTTAGAATCAGAGCGAAGCAGGGAAGAAAATGATTTCCTGCTCTCCTAACTCTTTTCCTTTCCCTGTACATTAAGGGAGGAACAGTGAGAGAATGCTGAGAGCTCACCATTTCCGTACAGTTCCTTTGATAAATCCTAATAAAGTAGAAGAAAAAAAAATGTGTTTTCAAAGATGGGCTCTATCTCACGGTAAGGTGCCAAATTTTCCACATCAAACATGTACTGATCTGCTCATTGGACAAGGACAGTCCAAGTCTCACCCCTGAAAATGATCTTTTTATCTTAAGGCAGAACAGGAGAAAATGGAAACTCTGTATTTCTTCAGCATGTCAGATTTTCAGCTCCATGTCTCAGGGACAGGGGCTGCAACAGAAAGCTCCTTTGGAAAGGGAGATAAACTTTAAAAATACTACTTTCTTCTCAGGAAGTTAAACTATTTCCCTAGATAAGAGAGATCCCAACACTTCAAGGAATCCCTGCAGAAAATGGTGGTGGAACAGTCAGAGCACAGTGCCCAGTTCAAAAATAAGTCACAGAAAAAGCTCAAGTTTCCACAAGAACTCTTCCTCAAAACTCTTTTTTTTCCCCCTTTTAATATCTCAGACCCATTTTCTGAGTCAATTTCCTATGATCCTGCAAAGGCTGTTATTAAAACCAGACCAAGCGTAGCTGAAATTCCAGGGCTCCAAAGAAACATTGAATAGGCGTAGGAGCTGGCCACACTGTCCCCCTCAGGTGATTTCCCTGCAGCCCCTGCCCTGGGATTTCCTCCCTCTCACTTTAGTCAGCAGAAGAAACCTGAAGTTTCAGCAGAATAGCAAACCCTTCCTTCATTTTTTAGCACTTGAGTTTTTTTTCTGTCTGAGGCTTTCATAGCTCTAAAAGACAGAACTAGGATCTAGTCCAGAAGATGTGTATTGCAGATTATTTTTTGCCACAAAAATGTCAGGCAGTCTCACATTCAGTTCTGTATCCAGCTACAATTTGAAAATCACTGACCTCCTTTATCCACCACTGCTTTTCATGCCACCAGTGGCGGTCCCGAGCGGAGGCGTTCCCAGGCTGCTTACCCAAGTGTCTTTTGCGTGCTAGAAAATTCCTTCCTGGTCTCCATCCCACCTAGCCCTCTGGCATGAAGGACAACATCAGCAGACATGCTCTTGGCAAGGCACCCTGGGAAAGCAGCAGGCATGCACAGCCAGGGCAGGCAGGGGAGGGAGACGTGCTGCCGTGCAGGGCAGGGGATGGGAGCCATGGTTCTCTCAGGTGGCACAGCTGGCACAGCTGCACCTCAGCCCTGCACTCCTCTGAGGTGGCCTCTGATGGCACAGAGCAAGCAGCAGGGCCAGCACCCTTTGGCTCAGCCCCAGGCTCTCCCAGCAAGGGGATGGTCCTTGGGTTCTTCCCTTCCAGTTTTGAAAGGCAATTCCAGATTTCTCCCCCCCTTTTCTACCCCTACAGGATATGCACTGAGGTGAAAGAGTGTTTCATGGCTGGGCATCGATGCAACAACGCCCTTTTCATAGCAAATGTATAAAAATACTTCATCCCTTTGATATTTATGCTTTCTATTATAAAGGGTAATTATATTAGAAACACTGAGCCTCAAATTTAAGTTACTGACAACTATGACAGATCTCACCTATTTAAAAGAAAATTCTTCTCCAAAGCTACTCTTCTCAATTACCGTTTTCAAAATTGAAAATGTGCACATTTTATTTTGGTTCCTATTTAGCTGGCTCTTTTTTTTTCCCAAACTGTGAGTACTTTCAATGTAACAGCTAATTTATCATAAATGGAGAAACCCCTTTGTTGCAACATTGCCTTATCTGCCCATGCCTCTCATAATTTAGAAAGTTAATGAATCCCTCAGAATCAGAGATTTTAATATATATATATAAGTGATTAAGTGTATTACATCATTGTGAAAATAAACATTAAGGACATTCTATTCATATAACAAATAAAAAAAGCAGTCAGTGCCATAGAAAATTATACAATATGCAAAGCTACTTTAAAAGGTCCTGATAAATGCAAAGCTCTGAGAAGGAAAGGAAATAATGCACTGAAGATAATCTTGTTCCTTAACTAATTGCTTGGTACCATATGAGGCACCCTGTAAGACAACCAGGGACTGTTTCCAACTGGCTGGAAATTGCTGGCTTTGCAGGACAAGAATCAGACTCCTACCAGTTTGTTCCACTGGTTCTACAAGAACTGCTCTTGTTCTCTCTCCCAGGAGAGCCCCTGCTTCCTCTGGTGAGGGTTCAGAAGGGCACAAGTGAGGAGCTGTACCCCTGCCCCTCTCCTCCTGGGGCTAGGTGACCTCCCTCTCTCTCTCTGGTTCCCTTATGAGGTACAACACAACCAGAACTGGGGTCCTTATTGCAAACAAATCAGGGTCTTCCAACTGACTGACCAGAATTTTTTAAAATGAAAAAATCTTCCTATCTTTTCAAACAGGCTACGTGCTAAGAAGTGCTTCCATCAAACCCTTCAGACTGCAGGGAATGCCCAGCTGTGCTTTGCTACAAGCAGCAGCAGCGCTCGCGTCCCACCCAGGGAGCAGTGCAGGGTTTGTCTGTGTGGTGCCAGGGGAGAGAACCACGGCACACCCCCAGGAACACCAAGCTCTTACCTTGGCACGCTGGGAGGAGCCCGGCTGGGCCGAGAGGGAACCTGGGGGGGCCCTCCGTGGCCCTCGGCGCTGGGGAACGGAGGCAGAGCTCCCGGGCGGAACGGCACCGGGGGCGCCCCCGACTGCGGGCCCGGAGAGGGGATGGCGGGAGCGGGTCCTCGGCCAGATAAGGGTCTGCTGGGGGGATTGTTCAGGGTAGGTCTCCTCGGAGTTGAAGGACTTGGAGGAGGTGATCTGGAGAAATATCAGAGATTTTAAAAGTTCAGTAAGGTGGGGGTGCACGTTTTGGGTTTTCTTTGATGTATTGTATTTTGCTTTAAACAAAAGTTAAAACTTATGACAGATGGTTTTTATTGGCATTTTCCTTTGCTGTCAGTGTCAGAAGATCACATACAATTAAGACTCATGTGTTTCCCACTGACAGCATACAAGCAAAAAGGTGAATAAAATGAATTTTATTATTCAAGTCCTAATAATGTTTTGTTAAGTGGAATTTCTAGGACATGGAGCCTGACATGCTGAATTGTTATAACAGCTTGCAAAAGGAGGCCAAGTGGATACAAAACTGGGGTGACAGAAGCAGCTGCTATTTGAAGCATCAGAGAAGCTGTTAAGTCCACTGGATTGTCTTCTGCAAGGCAAATATCCTGTCTGGTGCTCACATAAACATACCCACAGAATAGGTGGGTATGTTTATATATATAAACACATTCTCATATTATATATGGGAATATTCCCATCTTATATATGGGAAAATGTTTTGATTTTCCTCACAGATGTCATTAACACCTGGAGGAGCATCTTCCCAAAAAGATAGGCAGGGAGGGAGCTCCTGATCTTGTTGGAACTCTGGTTACTGAGAATTTGAGACTTTCTGTGCTGACAGGCAATGACCCCCAGGAGAACACTGCATTGACCTGAGGCTGTGGAGAAGCTTCCAAAATGGAATGACAGAACTGGGATTGTGGGTATGGAGTTTGAATACAAGTGTGCAATATCACATGGTGGAAAACTTAAGAGTTTAAAGTTTTAGAATATAGTAATATATATAAGACAAGATAGAAGTTTAAAGACAGAATCTAGTCCTTCTTCATAAGTTTGAATAGTATTGTAAAATTAAATTTAAAAATCCACATTACAGGCCATGACTAGTTAGTTATTAAGTTCAAAGTAAAAATAATTTGTGTACCTTCTTAATTAGACAGTTTACCCTTAAAAAGCCTTGTAGAAAAAGAAATACAACTCCATTTTTAGTTTGTTAGAGTGAAGCGCTGTAGAACTCCCAGTTTATAAAACTGTGATGGAGATAAAAACTAATAAACATCCAAACATAAAATACCATTTCACACATTTAATCCCAACCCTAAATAAAAAAAAACAAAAAAACAAAGACAGTAGCAGTGCCCTAGACAATCAGGCTGGCCACTGTGGCATTTACATTTTTTGAACATGATTTCTTCACCTAGGGTTTTTCTCCTGCGAAGCTGAAAGGCAGTGAGAGGCTTCAGAGAAAAAAAACCCAATGCTTATCTCATTTGGGTTTTTTTGTGTTGTGCTTATGCAGAATGTGTTTGGAGATTGTGTATTTAAGGCGATTGCTTGATTGGACACTGGTGTGAATTGTTTTGACTCATTGGCCAATTAGGGCCAAGCTGTGTCGGGACTCTGAAAAGAGTAACAAGTTTTTATTATTTTTTTAGCATTTAGTAAGGATTTTTTTCTGTATTTTTTAATATAGTATAGTGTCAGGACCCAGGACATTCCTCTGGCTGCCCTGGATGATTCCAGACCCTGGCAAGGAGCTCAGAGACCTTGGCACAGAGTCACAAACACCTGTGCCTTTGATTTTAGCCCAGGGAAACAATTACCAACTTTGTGTGAGGAGTTACAAGCCACAAGAGTTTGAGTAGAATGATGGTTAATTTGTCACAGGGTGAAAAAGTAGAATTTTGGGGATTTAGAATGGGGGTTCAAGGGGCAAGATGGAGGAATCTGGGCATGTCCTGTCCTTCTTGCCCTGCATCTTCTGCTGTGATGGTGATAGGTTTAGAGTAGAGACAGAGTGTCTAATAGGTGATAGGTATTGGAAAATTATTGTAAATAAAGTACATGTAGTTTTTAGTATAAAAAGTTAACACCACCCCAAGGGCTGTGCTGGACAGATCTCAGCAGGTTCAGAGAAAGAATGGAACAGAGCACAGTGCCTGTGCCAGGTGCCATGGCAGTGCACTGGGAGGCTGTGGGGCTGTGGGGCTGCTCACCTGCGTGCCTGCTGGAGCCAGGAGTCATCCACAGGCGGGGGAGCAGGGGTGGACACGGTGCTGGTGCTGATGTCCCCGATGATGGCCAGCGCCTCCTGCAGCGCCTGGTACATGCGCAGGGTCTCGTCCCGCCGCTGCGCCTGCTCCGCCGACTCCTCCATCAGAGTGTTCTGGTCCTCAGAGGAATACAGGTGAGCCAGCAGCTCTGCGTTGATAAATTCTTTTACCTGTTTCATCAGTGGGGAAAATGCGTATTTTATGATTGGCTTTTGGCAAATATTCAAATGAATATTATATGTGTTATGTTAGAAAGTTATGCTGTATTAATTTTCTTAAGTAGTGTGTTAAATATAGTTTTAGGTTATAACATAAGGTTAAAATAGAAACTATGCTATGTAAGATACTTTTTTTAAAGAAAGGACTCGCACTGAGATAGCAGCCACAGGACACCTGAATCTTTCAGAGAAAGGGAATTTATTGCTGCATTATCAGAAGAAATGAACTTCCCACCTCGAAGGCACCATCAGGATTCAGAAGAAGAAGCTGACACTGGCCTGACAGAATCCTGTGTTTGAATTGAATTTATGCATCATGGATGAGGTGTATGAATATGCAACAGGCTGTTGTTTTTAAGGGTTAATCCTCTGTTAACATGGGTCCTTTTTCGGGCTTATTTTGCCCAGAAAGAGGTACCTGGACTGTCTGTAACTCTTTGTTTTTATTGTCTCATATTGTCCTCATCCAAATTGTCCAAATTTTTATTACTCAAATTGTATTACTATTTTTATAACCATTTTATTACTATTAAACTTCTAAAATTTTAAAAACAAGTGATAGGCATTTTTCACAATCAGACAGAAAAGAAAATAATCCAGACCACCATAGAAATAAACAAAAGTCTCTATGGAAAATACAATGCTGAACAAATACAGGGGAGAGCAGCGGAAGCAGGAGATTGAATCACTTTCTCTTACTACCTTACACCAGCTCTGGTGCAATTCTGCATCTCTGAGGTGACACCTCTGCTTACCCTTAATTTCCCAACAGCTCCCAGGAGCCAGCTGCCATTTTGGGCCATTTTGGGCCATTTCTAAAGGACTGACTGGGAAGTAAATGGCAGTACAATCAGATATAAATTCCCCCGGGAATGGGAATTTTCAGGCTTTATGATATACCTGTTAATTACTTTCTTAGCAACAATTTACCATACTGTAGACAGCATCCTTCATTTCCAGCAGGTCTGTCAGATTCTGAATAACCCATCCACACACATTCAAACTGCTGAAGGGAGAAGTCTCCAAGTAATCTAATTTACTGTATTGATTTCCTGCTATGCCTGCCCTGGTTATGGAAACCTGGGCCACATTAAAAGACATAAAAAGCTAGAGGTACTCTGATTAAATAAGACTGTGGTAAATAGACCAACTGCTGACCTACTAAATCCTTGCATTTGAGACTTGTTGCTCTTCTGATCTATTTCTCATCTGGTGCTTTGCTCCATAAAGCTTTTTTGAGCTGGAGATAGTGATGATAATACATTCCCAGGATTCTGATTACATAAACCTGAGCTCCATTTGCTCATGGGTTTGTGCTACTTTTGTGATTGAAAGGCTGAGAGTGAGACTGAGGCAATGTTTGTGTTTAGACAAGGTCAGGGAGAGCAGTGAGCCAGCACAGCCAAGGGACCCTTTCTGGTCACCAGCAACGAGCAGGCAGCCAGGACAGAGCTCAGAGGGAAACAAAACCACATTGCCTGGGCTTGGCTGTCATTTCCCATTCACGTATGACAGGAGATGCACAAATTCTTAGCAAAGCCTGCAACATTTTTCCATGAGTTTCATGCTGTTTTCCAGTAGATGGTACTGATCAAGAGCCAGAGTACACTACTTTCCCTGTGATTGCCAAAAACTCCACATTAAAAACAGATATCACAGTTAAACAGCATCACATTCTGCTCGATGAAATGAGCATTTTAATGGCATCACTTCAAAAAAAGAAGTCCTAAAATTAGATTAAGGCCAGAGCTGATTGTAAAGGCATTGTTAAACCACAAATATCTGTTTGAAAAAAATCAGCCTGTGACAATTATCATGAGAGGTCCCTGTCTCTCACTGGCAGAGGATTTGAGTAACTCCCTCCTCTGGAAAGGGAAGACTGCTGTGTTTAGGATGGATCTTGGATCAGCCTCCTGCCCTCCTGTGCTGTGCTAGACAGAGGAAGATCTCCCACCAGAGCCACTTTCTCCAGCTTGGAAATGGAGGGAAAAGTGATGCTTACTCATGTTTGCTCCTTTCTGGAAAGCAGGCTCACAGGAATGGTTTAAAACATTTTCCTTCACAGACATCAGGCCTGCAGTCAAAGCTGAACCATAGCAAACATCCAAATGCCAGTGCCCTAAATCTGCCCTGGCACCCTGAAATGGGGCAAGGTGGGCTTGGAACCTCCTCAGGGGGAAGACAACACATGGCACTGCCTCAAATGCAAACACAACCCATTCCTTGAGCAGTCTGGCAGCACCAAGTCCTCTGGAGTTTTCCTCCTCAGCTGAGATCAGTGTCAGCACTGTTTATGGAGCATACACTGACTGCTCTTAAGACCACCCCTCTTGTATAATCCAGGATACCAAGGCACCATGAAATACAAACTTGTGTATGTGTTTTTTGTTTGGGCATGTTTGAATTGGTAATGGTAACTCAATGCAGTTCTGTGTGGTAAATGTATTTTCTTTTAAGGTAATCAACATCCACCCTAGGGGAAGAACAAGGGATGCACTTGGAACACAACAATGTAGGCTTAGGCCCCAAAATATGCTCAGGGACAGCATGTAATTATTTTCTGTACACTGAGTTTGAATCTGATACTTTCCTTGAATTCTAAATACTTGTTTATGGGCCCACAAAGTGGAAAGGAAGTTCTAGGAAAACTTGGGAGGTTGCAATTGTCATGGAAACAAATTCCTTGGGATCGATTTGTTTCCAGAGTTTTGGAGGCAACATGATGGGGCAGCAGAAAATACAGAATATGTTGATTAAGGGGGAGGGAAAGTGTTTTCATTTAACTCCTGGTAGATGGGTTGCACTTATGAATACTCCAAGGAACACACACAACTTCACAGGACCCACCTTCCATCACAGCTCCACTCCTTTCCAGATCTTTGCACAACCTTTTGGCAAGGCTCAGCACTCTTGATTCAACCATTTCTTTCTCTTTTCAGTAGCCCTGATTTTTAAAAATTGCTATTTTACCAATTGTTTTCAATATGCTATTTTACTGCCTATGCTGCACAGAAAGAAATACACTAATGCTTCTATGTCACTTTTCACAGTTCTTTAAAATGTTTGGATTTTTTGCCACAAATTTAAACCCTAGGATGGAGGTGTAAGCCTCAGCTCACTAGAAAGCCCAAATGCAGCTTGGGACGATGAGGTCAGCTGAAACCTTGGTGATATTTTAAGTGTGTGGTTTCTGTGTGCCAGCCTGGCAGGCTTTATCAGTGTCACCAACAGCTGATGAGACTGAAAGCACAAAATCTCACAGCAATCTACTTCTGAGAGAGAAGCACACACTTCAGAGACCCCTAAACAATTCCAGATGAGGAGGTGAGTGGCAGAAAATTTAATGTAAGCTTTCAAAAGCAACTGCTCACTGAGCTCTGCTGTTTATGAAATGAAAGCTAAACCCCAGCCTTTCCAAGGGCACTGGAGATAGGCTAAGTCAAAGCAGAGAGCTGCTAGCAATGATCTAGAAAGAGCAGTGAGGACACACACTCAACTTCTGAAGTCTAGAGCAGGGCTGATATCCAGGAAAAAAAGGCTGTTCCATTGTTCCCATGTTTTTTTTGTAAAAACTCACCCATGACTAGAGCATTACTTACATTCTGACTCCCCTAAACCTGAAGAAGTTTAATGAACAATCTCTTGCCCTCATGCAAAAATTCTGTTTGTATTAAATGTACAAGGAAATCCCACTGAAATTTCCTGTCCAACCACCTAACTCTTAAGTGCAACACAAATTCCACAGGGCTAATGAAATCCATCAGATGAAGGCTAGAGGTGGCTCTGAGTCAAGAGTAAATGCTACCTTCTAATCACATTTGCCTCTCAGCATATTGCACTGCTAAAGGCTGCCTGGTTTGATGACCTCTCAGAGCTAGCAGGGGCTCTGGGTCCCATCAGTAATTTGTATGGCAGCAGTGGCACTAATATTAAGCTCAGTTTTCAACAAGGTCCATTCAGAACTCTGCCAGGATGTGAAGACTGAGCTCCCACTGCAGTGGAAAAACAATGGTATCTCAAAGCTGGTTTTAACCAAATAATCTTCAGATCTAAGAAAGACACACACAATAAATCAACCAACCACATCTGCTTATCTAAACAACAGTGTCCAAAGCTTCCAGATTTATTCCTTGGAAATGGTAACCTGAAAATATAAAGAAACCCAAACAAAATAAGAAGTGCTTTATGAACCCTGACAAAGGCCAGCAGATGGAAAATCAAGGAGGCACAACTCTGCTCTACTGCTCTCACAGGCTGCCCACACCAAGCTCCCAGTTCCTCTTCCTCTTATATCAAAAGCAAGACATCTAATAAAAACCAAAACAAAAGCATCCCCACCTTGAGTTACCTTTAAATAATAACTTGTGTTCTGGTTAAGATGTAAATGAATTCTTTAGGATTTTGGGATAAGCACTCAAGGCAGCGTGCCACCCTTTGAGAAGGCTGCAGAACTTCAAGTACTATGGAATATTGGAATATTTTCTCCATGAGTGTAACATTAATTCTTCTCTGTAGTAGCTGCTGTGTTCCAGAGGGGTGTTTGAGAGTGAGAGATCTGACAGACACATTGAACTGATTTAGAACTCTGCTTGCTACTTACATTATTGATCATGAGGTGCATGATTGTTTTCGGGATCAGATCTCGGATACATTTGTTAATAATGGACATGTAGGAGTCCACAAGATTTCGAATTGTCTCCACCTGTCTTTCCAGCTGGGGGTCCATTGAAAAATTATCTGCTTGGCCATTTTCTTCAGTTTCAGTCTGCAAAGAAGAAAAAAAAGTCTTTCAGATTGAAGTAAACTTGAAACATATTGGGGGAAAAACCCCTGGACTTACACTGTATAATCCAGCAACATAATTCATACAAAGACTATCCACAGGTTAAAATATGAAGTCTTGGCTTGTTTAACATTAGAGTTCAGCATCATGAAATTTGGACCTTTAAAGTTTAATGCCAAATGAGACTTTTTGCACAAAGCACATGTATGTATTTCCACACAAATTTGTAACTTTATGTTAAAGAAAGATTTTGGACAATGATGCACGGTGGTAAATGTCACACCAAGAAATTATTTCAGATCACTTACTGCAATACTTATTATCAAATCTTTTACCATTCACATTTAGCCAGCTGGATCCATGCAAGAAATCAGCATCATAAGTCTGGATCTTTAATTTTACCCTTCTGTGGGTTAAACCCACCTTTGTTATTTAAAGCTGACTTATTTGTGACAAATTTTGCAGTTCAGTCTCCAACTTGTTAGATGTGAATAGCACCTATATAAACAAAGGGATTATAAAAGATAACAGCAAAAGCAGCATTACTTCCAATGCTCAAGGCTGGGTTATATATTTGTGGTCTCTTTTTCACTGCATAGAAAAAAAACTTCTTTGTATGCAAACAGCTGACCTAATTAAATACCAGGAACTTTAACTGGAAGCTCAAAGGCCTATACTTTGCCTCAGTCTGGCCTGTATAAATATAGGAAAACCTAAACGAAAATAGTAACCTTTTGGTGAAAATCAAATTGCTGTCTGAGGCTTGCAGTTGCCAAAAGAATGGAATTTCTACTCAGAGAGTACAAAGAACAACATTCCCCAAAGTCTGATATCAAACTTCTCCCTGAAAACAAGTGCCAGAGCATTAATAGCACGAACTGTAAAATCTAAATCTGAGTACCTGAGTATGCTTCTGTGGGTACCCAGAAGCATAAAATCATAGAAGCACAAAGTGCTTTTGGTTTTGACTTCAGCCAAAGTGCTCCAGCCTTGCAGCTCATGTTGTTCCAAGCCCCCTTGCAGGCAGGGACACCTCCCACCACAGTAGTGCCCCATCCAGCCTGGCCTTGGACATCAGGAACACAAAGATACACAAAGCACTGGCAAAAACTGAAGAAGCCAACAAGGAGAACGAGTTGTGTATCAGCCAGAGCCCTGCCAGCACAGCTCCATTTACAACAGAGCTTTTAGCTAAAACTGGCACATGGCTGGTGCTTTAAACAGTTCTGGAGCAGCTGAGATCAGTATCAAAGCCACCAGTAAAAGGCCATTAGTGCTAAATATGCAAACATGTCACCAAAGAGGCTTCTCCCTGCAGGAAACTGGGCCAAGAAGGGATTCCTGGTTTCATGTCCTGGTGCAGGCTCTGCTTCTGCTCACACAGCATTGCCAGGTAGAGCACTTGGAACCTTTTCAGCTACAGCTTGGTCAGTCCAGGCTAAATGAAATGGAATGTTTGTGATGTGTTAAGTTCTAGTTTTGTTAAGAAATAAGACCCAATGTATCATTTAGAAACAAAACTGAGTGTTTGTAAAAGAACTTTCAAAAGTACGGGTGAATTACTGGAAAAGCAGCTGATCTTTGAAAACAATTAGCTGTGCTTCCTAAAAATCCTATGACTGGAGGACACTGAAGGGGCTCTTGATGAAAACAGGGTAATGCTGTAACATTGGTAGACACCACCTTAAAAACCTTAATCTTTTTGTTAATAAACTGCATGTAGCCAAAAGTCACAATGCAAAGACTATTTTCCTTAGCCTCTGTGTCTAAAGAAAAACTAAAGGTAATTTTCCCTGTGAAATACCAAAGAAATAAAAAAATCATACATCTCTCATATATCTGCAGATTTTAGCCAAGTAACTACACACCAAAATGCCCCCTTCCCTGTTTCCCTGTATTTGACATCTATTCTCTTTCTTTTCTTCTTTGCTGCCTATATAAAGTGCAGTTTGTTCATGTAATTTTTTTTCCTTTTATTTTTTTTTTTTTTACTCTTTAAATTATAGATTGCAATAAGATTCCTAACTGGCCAAGCAGCAAAGTGACAGATGTTTATCATTATCCTCATCAAGAGAATGTAAAGTAAAAATAGTAATTTGTCTCTGATCTTTCAGGCAAAGGGTAATAGTCTCTTGTTTGAAACTGTAACAGAGCTGACTTCATACTGTTGATTTATTTTCTCTGAAATCAAAAAAGATCAATCTTTCATGACTTTACAGTAATTTATTATGAAAGCTTCTGGCCAGAGTATTCCTAATGATTTGATGTCTCAACTGAAGGCTTTTCATGCCAGAAACCATCTTGTTTGCATGGCATCATGCAGATGGAAATCTGCTTCCAGCAGGTTTCTGTGCCCTCCAGGACCCCTCCAAGCATTAGAAACCTTTCTGTGCTCAGCTGCCTCAGCTCTGTGCCAACAGCAGCAACCAGAAATGGGGGTGCCTGGCAAGGCTGGGCATCCCAGGTGACAGAGATGCCACCTCCAGGCCATTGTTTCACAGCAGCTCTGTGAGCCTCACAGTGACCCCACCTTCAGTGCAGGGCACCCCTCAGCCCCTGTCCCTGTTTCTTACAGCATGGCTCCTGCAGGGAAAGCCTGCTCAGGGAACAAACCCAGAGCAGAGCACAGAACAAACCCTGCCAGCCTCTGCCCACTGCCAGGCTGAGCAGGAAGGGAGAACAAAGAAGGTGCAAACAGCTTTCCATGACTCCTTTCCCAGCCAAGGCAGCCCAGTCCTTTCAGCTCCTCATCCCCAAGCCAGAACTCACCAAGTGTTCCAAGAGCAAGTGTTAAGTGACAGCACATGAATCTGGACTAGGTTTTTAGTCAGTTGATTCTTGCTTAATGCTGCTATTAATTGTTGACAGGAATGGAATATTGCTACTTCAAAGGAATGCAAGTGCAATTACTTTAGGGAGTTCTGTAAACTTCCAACAAAGAAAGCTAAGGAAGAAGCTAGAGTGCTAAAAAACAGGTAAAGGGAATGAATTCATCTAGGAAAACTCTAAAGCAGAGTATGTGATGGAAACACACCAAGGCTACAAAGAAGCAACAGGTGAAAAAACCACAGATGAGGAGAAGGTAAGGTGGGAGCCAGGGGGTGTTTCCATGTACCCTTCCACACACCCCCAGACATCCTTTCCTTCTGCTCCCTGCACTTCAGACTGAAATATTGATCCCTTGCACTCTGCTGTGGTCTCACCTGTGTGAAGCTGCTCTGTGATCCCTGCAGGAGAAGGTGCTACTGAAACCCAAGGTACAGCTCTGCTGCTCTCCCACCTCCCTGCATCACACACCTTCTGTACTGGGAATGTGCTAAGGAATAACTCATGTGCCCTACAAGAGCAGACTAAAAACTGCCTGTGAAATCCAAACCACTGAAATTTGTGGGAATTTTACTGCTGGCTGCAGTGGGAAGAGGATTTCATCATTTCTACCAGAAAAGTTATTGATCTTCTGAAGATTGTGAGCTCTCTGCTGCAAGAGGAATGATTTAGTGTGGTACTGGGGATGCAGTGCAGTCCAAAACAAAGGAGTAATACCTCAGGATATCAGGGTAATTTTTCTGATTGTAGAAATTATAAGCAAGTTCAAGAATGTTCCAAGGAAACTTAATGAAAAGTGATTCCTTTTGAAATTCACAGCAAAACTGGGTAACACACTGAAAACAGTCCTGAGCTGGCCACACAGAGAGAGCAATACTTCTAATTTCCATGATTTCATTACATTCAGGACAACTGCCAGCATATTTAAGAATGTCTTGTATAACATTCCTGATGTCAGTTCTAAGAAGGAGCATTTGTCTGGCATTTTCATTAGAGCAGTGTATCAACCAATTTTCTGTAATCAAAAAGGCATTCTATTAACAGTGACCAGGAGGAAGCAGACTGGAAGGTGACTGACTCAAGGGTAAAAATCAGAGCAGCAGCAAAGCAGTGCTCTGTGCAGTACAAAATATGTCCATGGCTGCAGTAAGAAATTGCTCATTTCAAAGCTGCTTCCAGCTCTTTCATTTACAGTTCCAAGTTCACAACAGCAACAACCACCTGAGAATTAATTATTCCAGCCAGATTGCATTTATGTTTTAATTCACAGCTGCTGAAAATACATATAAAATCCATTTTATATATCCCTGTCCAAGTAAGTTTTTTCTTTAATGCACCAACACTCAGCACACTGCAGTTGTCCTAACCCCCCTGCTTTTCCCTAAATCTTTACAATTGATTCTCTCTTCATTGCAGTTAGATGTTGGATATGTAATTTAGCCAAGATCCTCTCAGCTGTACATAGTGTGCCTTTTGCCAGAGGACTGCTGAAACCACATGATGGCTTCACACAGTGAGGTTTTCTTACTGGAAGGAACCACAAGTAAATGACAATACATTACTTTTGTGTATTTACAACAAAGCAAGCAGCAGAAAAAGAACACTTCCCAGGCAGCTTGGAAGCTGTCCTTTTCCCTCACAGAGGGTGACTTTGCCACTCTCTTCCATGCTTTCAGCATGTCCTGACTTTGTACTGCTGTTCCCTTTACTGAGCCACCCACAGGCTGCCCCTTTCAGCTGCTATGCCTTCATTAGCAGCCTGGAGCTGCTCTGAGCAGAGGTTGTGATCTGGCTTTCCCTCACACACAGCACCTCTCTCACTTCATAACCCCCACAAGAATGATACACCCTACTGCAGCTTGCTTCACAAGTGTTTCACTCCCTGGATTAGCTTAAATAATCATTTATTCCTGTTGTTGTCTGTGGCTACAGACATTGCCCAGGACAGACCAGGAGCTAAATCCTCCTGCTGAATGCAAACACTGCTCCCCAGTATCTCCACGGCTTTAACCATCCCAAACATTCCCAATCTGGCAGGCTCTCTCCCTGGAGAGGAGAAGCTGATTTGGAACTGTGACACTGAGAAGAATGATGTATTACCAGAACTTCAAGAAACCTGAACCTCCTTTTGGAGCAGGGATTCAGATCTTACAGGT